GCTAATAATACCCTCTAGCCATTCATTTTTCATATATATATATATATATATATATATAAATGGGTCTTGAGGCCCCTAACCCATCCTACTGACTCAACACCAGTTAGGTTTGAGTGGACCAATGAGCCTAAATATTTGAGGACTCACTTAATGAAACAGCAGTCGTTGGGATTCGAACTCAAGACTATAGGAGACTTATACCGCCGAAGCGAATGGTCTATATATACTTAGTAATTTATATTTTTTGACCGTTATGCACCTGCAGTTTTGGATGGTGTTTGGCAAAGAGTCCAGAGAGTTGCCAGAAGCGTCCAAGCGTTTAAGCTTAGAGAGGCAGCCGATTGAATTAGGAAGTCTCTTAAGCTGGTTTGAGTGTATGTCTAGCTCCACCAAGTTCACCAGCCTCGCCGCCGCCGACTCCGGCAAGCTCTGAATTCGAAAATATTTAATTAATCATAATTATCAAACAAATTAAGCCCTTAATGACGTCCATGCTTAATAGTTTATTAAGCTGTTAACTAATTTGTTGATAAAATCGTGGCTTTATTTGCAGTACTCATCATCATAATAAAATCATCATAATAAAATATAATTAATATCCGATCATCTATGGAGTTTTAATTCATTTAGATGGTTTCTTACGCTAACAATCAAAATAGTCAAATCTAATAAATATTTATGATATAGTTTATATTTTCAAGCAATCAAAGACATACAAATCGCACAGAGAATCTTCTACCTTTTATGCTATCAATGGTACATTGAATGTAAATCAAAATCTATAGCAAAACGTTCGAAAATGCATTCAATACATAATAAATTCAAATTATATATTCATCTTCTCTTTCATCTCAATTTAAATTTCAACATATATAAATATGTATACACACTCAAACAAAATTTTAAATTTGTTGTGCGGATGTGCAGACGATGGTGTGTGACTCACGCCTTAAAATTTACATTTTTCTTTCCTTGGTTTAACAATATAATATAATTTCAAGGAGCTCCATTTACTTAGGCTAAGGTCTGGCAATGTTGTGGCGGTGCGACACTACGCCATAGTTTTGTCTGTTTAGGTCAATTACGTTTTATCTGTTTTTTCAAAAAACTGTCACTGAAATATGTATTTTCTCATTGATCCCGATTAGATGTGGTGACAGCCTACTAGCTGAGGTCTGACTTTAAAAAATTAAAAAAATTGTAATTATCACCATAATTTTTTTAACATTAAATTATTTTTTAACAACTTCACAACCACTTTTTAATAAGCTGCAGCTGCCTCAAACATACCCTAAGACTTACAAGTTGGGCTAACTATTCTAACCAAACATCAATCATAGGTGTTAAATCTATCCAATTTATTAAGAGATGGATGAAATATACAACTAATCAATCTATACTTATATTCATCTAATCTCAAAAATAAAGAATAATCAAGAAATGATAATTTTGGTACCTCAAGATTATTGCATGAGAGATCAAGCTTGGTGATGCAAGCAAGATTGAAGGAGGGGTGATTTGGAAGGGAAGCCAACTCCATCCCACTCAAATCTTCCTCCTTCCATATTTTATTGCCGTTCTCCTTTCTAATCCCTCTCTTCTTCCTTCCTTCCATCATCATCATACTCTTTTGCATATCACGGCAAGCTAATTCCTTGCTCTAGAGATAGAGAGAGAGAGAGTAAGAGAGAGAAAGTATGAGAGAGAAGTGAGAGAAGAAGAAAAGTGTGCGTTGTGATAAACCCAGGAGAATAGACATGAATATATAAGCAGGGCTTCTTATGTCCGGACGTACGGCCGTGCGAAGAAAAGTTGGGTTTAAATATAAATATTTTGATTGATCGTAACGAAAAAGAATAAAAATAAAATATATAAAACTATTGTAATATATTTTTTTTATCGACACTTTATAAATTATTATTTTTTTTTTTATTTGGGTGCAAAATTATTTATTAAGTCTATTCTGACCAAAATTACATTAGGATATTTTGATTTTTTTTTTTTGATATTTACATATATACCACAAATCTTTTATATATTTACATATTTAACACTCAAGTAATCATATTCATGTGCATATCATTCAAATTTTTAACATATACAAAATATAATCATTTTTACCTTTTCATAAGTAAAATGAGTACATAAATTTTAAATATAAAATTTTAGATATTTGATATATATGAATTGTATAACAAGTGGATAAATTTCTTTAAATAAATTATTAAAATAGAAGTAATTTAAAAATCGAAAATATTCAAATAAAAAATATAAATATAATCCGTTGAATTGAAAGTTTTATCTTCTAATTTTAAATTAATATCAAAATATAAAATAAATGATGAAAATTAAACTACAATTTTCTTAAAACCCGTGCCAAAAAGTCCACAGTCGTACTACTACGCGGTCACATTGTGTAAAAAATATTACATCATCTTCATTGAATATTCAGCCTACTAAAAAATTCGCGGTGGTAGAGTAATTAATTATCGTCTTAACGTTTCACAAAATATCTTTACAGACTCAAATAAAAAAATTAATCAGTAATAATACTAGAAGTTTTTATGTAGAAAACTCATAAAGGAAAAATACTACGGGGCCTGACCATATTATTAGAATTCACTATAGGTTGAAAATTACAGAGACTTCTTGTCTCATAGACAGAAAAGAGTTACTAGGTTTTCTTAATAACAACTTCAACCGGTGGCTTCTGATCGATGGTGGTCGACGATAATTGGTGATAATCGATGGTGGTCAAGGTGGTTGATTACAATCGGTGGTGGTTGACGGTAACATTCTTGCTCGACGGCAGTCCGTAGTTGTCCATGGCGGTTAACAGTGGTAGACGGTGATTGACGGGAGTTGGCGGTGATCGATGACGGTCGACGGATGTTGACTATGGTCGGCGGTGGTCAACGGCGGTTGACGGCAGTCGACGGTGGTCGGCGCCGATCCATGGTGATAAGGTGGTGTTGGGCTTCAGCTTCTTCTCAAAGCTTCAAGTTCTCTCTCAACCTTCAGTCTCTGCCTCATGAGAGGGGTGGGGCTCTATTAATAGTATTCTATGTGCAATTAATTCAAGAATATGAACCACTTTAATTGGACGGTCTGAAGAGCTTCCTTCGATCAGACAATATTTAATGTACATTTGAGTGTCTTAATGATGTTGGAATTGAGCAATCTTTGGCTCGTTGGATTCGTGTTGTCGAGACGTTCTATTTGATTATATGTCTGCCAGATTCGACATTCGTTTAACCTTCTAAATATGTATGGAAAACTTTTTAAGTAGTTTAATGACTTGATCTAAGCTTGATTTGACTAAGGTTGGACTAATTTTGACAACATTGGGTTCCTTTTGTC